TTGAAATCAGGTCCTCTCACTACTACCTTGAGCCCTTGGGGTGGAGCAGGAGGCAAAGGGGGCACAGGCTTGAACTCCACAGGTGGCTGAGGGCCCGGGGTCCCGGACAGGAGAGGAACATGGGGGCAGCTGGTGTCTGGGGTCCCAAGGACAGGGAATGGGGAGGGCAAGAAGGAAGTCCTCCATTCATCCGGGCCAGGGGGAGCGTTGTTATTGTTATTATCATGAAGCATCTCGAGGCTCACACTCGTCCTGGCCTGACTGGGCCCCCCTAATGGTCCCATAAATCCCGGCCATAAAGAGTAATGGGGGGAGACAAATGAGATAATTAGGAATAAATCTCAGCGTGGTCTCTATTCATCAGCGTCCCTAGAACTGGCCAATCTTCCGAGCCATTAGACAGGTCCTAATTAATGCCGAGCTGCCCAGCGCTGCGGAGGCTCCATGTCTGGGAGGGACCCGGGCTGAGGGGCACCACTGCCCCCACAGCCCACATCGGCGACCTTGGGAGGGGCGGGGGCTGTGTGCCTGCAGCCCACCTGCTTCACCTTTCCATCTCAAGGGCCTTACTTTGTCCGCACTGTCCTGTCTGCCTCCTCGTCTCTGTCTCCTTTTCTTCATCTCACCCGTCTCCCCGACTACAGTCCTGTGTTTCTCTCTTGCTAGATGGCCACAGTCTATGTTGCTAGCTATGAAAGGTCTGAGTTAGAAGGAATCGTGGGGGCACCTGTAAAAACTCTCCACCATCTGTCCTTTCTGCCATCCTGCCAATACCTGGGCAGGGACCTAATCTACACCTGCTCCCCCAGAACAGTCTTTGGAGCAGGGATGACCCCCGCCATGCCCCCTGCTGTGGCGGTCCATCCTCCCTGGGGCAGTTCTTGCTAGCAGAGTGTTCTCTCATTCCTGGAGCTGGGAATGTCTGTGAGGTCTGCTTCTCAGTCTTACCCCTACCTGCTGGAGACTGAAAATCAGCCCCACTCTCCTCGCTAAGATGCAGGCACTTGAAGGCCATTCCTGCCTTCTGTTCTTCAGCCAAATGTGCTGAGCTGCACTTGACACCTTGAGGTTTCCAGCCGGGTCTCTCCTAGTCAGGGACTTCTCTGTACCACCCCGCAGTGACTTCCATTGTTTTAATCTGTTAGCTTTCCCCCCGTTTTTGTTACAGCACCCCTACCTCTTTGGGAGGTTTCCCTTCCCTGATTCTATAAGTGTCTGGAGGGGTGGCCAAGTAGCCCACCCTCCAGGCCACAGAGGCACCTCACGATGAGGCCTCGCCAGCCACAGCCCTTTGTCCCCCTGGCAACGTGACTGGCTCAGGGATGAGCCTGTTGTGTGTGCAGAGCCAATCAGAATGCTTCCCTGACCTTTGCTCTGTGGCCCCAAGCGGGGTAGAACTGAGACTGTGCCAGGTGGACAATGTGTCTGCTCCTTCCCACTCCACCCATATCTGTCTGCAGTAGGAGGAAATGTGCCCAGAAAGAAGCAGACTCAGAGATGGCAGGGATTGTGAATGGGGAGGTGGCTATGGCCAGGGGAAAAGCGGTGAAACCAGGTGAAAGGCAAGGAAGGGTTGGGAGGCGGCTTTTCTCCAGAGGAGGCGAAAGATGAGGGGCCAGCTGGGGTGATAAGAGGGCTGTGACTGAGGGTGCCATCCCATACCACATGACCCCACCAGCCTAGGAAAGTCAGAGTGCAGAGAGGAGCATCTGCACAGAGATGACAAGGGACCAGGTCTGTGAGCTCTGTCCCCACGACCCGCTGCTCCCCCACTGTGGCCTGAGCCTCCTGTCCCTGCTTCTCTCTCACCTCTCTTTGCCCAGGGCCAGTCCCAAGGGCAGCTGTGCTGTTTTCCCAGCTTGGTCAACAAGCTGCCCCCTGCTCAGCCGTGGGAGTGTGTGCAGCGGTCGCCCTGAAAACCTCAGGGACTAGCCCTGGCCCCCATGACTGGACCATCTCCCTGGGGAACAGGTGAAGCTACTGGGGGTGACGGCATGGGGTGGGGTGGACCTGCTCTGCCCAGTGTCAGAGCTGCTTAGCGGTGTTCCGTCCTGGCAGCTCTGGAGCCACGGAGGCCATGGGGCCTGAAGCTCAGCTGGCCCTGCGCTGGGTGTGAGAAGAGGCCAGGCCAGTTCAAGTTCCAAATTCAGGGAGAAGCTGATGGAGACTTTGGAGGCAGAGGGCCCCGACTGATTGCCCTCCGCTGACAAACCAGCCCCTGGCTCAGCTACTTGCTCTGCGGTGGGGCCACCTCTCTTAGGTTTGGCGCACAAAATCACTGAGTGGTCATGGACAGTACTGGCCAGGGCTGGCTTAACTTGGCCTCACCACCTTTTATCCCATAGGCAGGCGGTGCTTGCTCTGGTTTAGACAAGAGGCTAAATCAAATGGGGATGGGGGTGGCTTCTTAAGACAGCTCCCGGACAAAAGTGGACCGATCTGCTGCTCTAACGATAAAGAAGACCAGAGAGAGGCAGGTGTTCCCTGAACACTGTGGCCACCAGTTACGGCTGCAGGCTCCCCGCTCTTCCATCGTACACACAGGGAACTAAGGCCTGGGGAGGAAAGAGCCCCTTCCTGGCGGCCCACAGCACAGCCAGGCCTAGAACTGTCACCTGGTGCAGCCCAGCCATTGGAAAGCAGAACCCGGGAGCCTGTGGTGGGCCAGGAGGAGAGGGACGGATCCAGAGCCAGGGCTTGCCCTGGTTGGGGGTGGGCAGCCTCTAGATGAATGCTACTTGCTGCCCGGCAGGGGTCAGGGCACCTGGGCAAAGATGGCGAGGTGAGGAAGGCAGGGCAGGCGTGGGACGAAAGGGGAATGGACCGACATAGGTCTCCGCAGCCCAGCCTCAGGCTGGCCTGGGGGTCGAAGCTGCAGGCTCTGAAATGGGCAGTGTGTGAGTGTGTGCAGATGTGGTGTGAGTGTGTGTGTGGTGCGGGTGTGGAATGCATGAGCCTATGAAATGTATCTGAGTGTGTGACTGTATGGAGGGGCTGTGTGAGAGTATGTGGGTGCACATAGGCGTGAAGTGGGTGTGTGTTTGCAGTGTGTGTGTGTGTGTGTGTGTGTGTGTATGTGTGTTAGGGGGTTGGCTAAATTCTTCCCCAGTCCCGCCCCCACCCAGCTCAGCCTCTAGGGTTTCAGCCACTGTCCTAAAGAAAACAGCCTGGAGCCTGCAGCAGGAAATGGCTGTTTGGATTGCAGCGGCGCCTCTTCCTGCCACAGCCCTGCGGAGCGGAGAGGGCCGGGACCAGGCCTTCCTCCCCACCTGGACCAGATATGAAGCTCGTCAGGAGCCCCTTCACCCCCGATCTGGCATCCCTAACATCCCTCAGACTCCAGCCTCGAGGACTGAATTCGAAACTCTCCTACCACTGTCTCTCCAGGGCAGTGGGAGAAGTGTACGCCCCCCCAGGCCGAGTGAGCCGAAGGCTGGTACACCCTCACCGAGGACAGCCGGGCAGTCCTGTCAATGGCAGGCCCAGCAATCCCACAGTTCACGAACGTTCTGCCAATATAGCTCATTCATGCAAAAGGGTGTGTTGGCTCAGCCTTGTTGTAACAAAGTGCTTGAGCGTGGACTGCGCAGGGCTGGGTCCCTGGACCCGTGGCGCATCCATCCCGGAGACTCAGGCAGCTCTCCGTGTGCTGGGAAGGAAGCCCCCCAACACATGGCCAGGTGGGAGAAACAGGGTCCAGGACAGTGCGTACAGGATCCTCATATTTTTGTAAAAAAAGAAAACACATACATGTAAATGCTTGTGTGTGCACAGATTAGATTTTCAAATCTTCCGTACCTTGGGCGTGCAGCAACTAAAAAAGATACAAATACACACAGAGATACATGAGTACTGGGGGTGCCTCCGGGGCCCTCTACTGGCTTGATAGTGAGAACCCCCTGGGCAGTTCCCTTCCTCTCTGTGTCCTGAATTTCTTGTGTGCTCTCAGAGGTCAGAAAACCCTGAAGCTGGTGAAGTGAGGCCCGTGTGAGTAGGGACGGAATGGGGAGGAGCGGGGCCTAGCTCTCTCGCTGCCTCTTAGAGCCTCCTCCTCCTGCTGCAATGAAACCCACTCCCAAGGCCATGGGCTGCTCTCTCCTGTGACATTCCTTAAGAGTGTTTGAATTTCATCTGGCCCTTTCCCCCAGTCACCCTGCACTTCCTTCCAGAACCCCTCGGAACCCCTCCAAGCCTTCGTTCCTGGAAGCAGTGCCCACCAATACCCTGGCGGTCTCCTCTGAAGCGCTCATCAGCTGACACTTCTCCAAGTCACCCTAACCGTCTGAGAGCCTCTCATGCCTCCTGGACCTCTCCTCGGGTCCAGGATGTGTGTGGGGGGTGCTGGTCCAGCTGCCCCCAGTACAGCCCCGTAGTCTTCACAGCTGGCATCGCTTCTCAGGTTCCTTCCTCCACATACCAAGGCCGCCCCACAGATGGCCTTGGGGGCCCCTGCAGTCCTGACACAGCTTCCTTCTTTCTCAGACCCCTGGCAACGGGGGGGGGGATGCCTGAGGCTGCATGTGTAACCCCAACCGGGCCTCCACCGAAGCCCTGGGGCAAGCCTGGGGTGCCCTGGGCCTGGAACTGGCCCCCTCCCGGGCGCCCCTCTAGTACCAACATGGGCGTCACCTACGCCTTGGAAGAACTGGAGAAGCTGGAGTCAGCAGGAGATTAATGAATCAAAACCCGAACACATCTGCTCTTAATTAATTCCATGCCAAGCTTAACTCTTCCCTCTCTGGGCTTCCCCTCCCTTTGGTGGGAAGAGGGAAATAATAGTGAGAGAAGGTACCCCACTTTCCTTCTTCCCTTAGAGGGAAACGTGAAGAAGGGAGGGGAAATGTGAAGGGCAGGGCGGTTTCTGGGGTAAGAAAAGCAGAAGAGGCAGGGCCCCCAGAGAGCAGGGCAGCCTCATCCATGTGGGTGCTTTTTAGGAGTGGTAGGAGCGTTTGCTTTTGAGAGTCATGGCCCCTGGAAATTAGTCATGAGTCCTGAAGAAATCTGAGACGGACAAATATCTTTATTTACAGCAACAAATAGAACAGACCCTCCCTCCCTTCCCTCCCTTTCCCATTCCAGTCTTTTCCATACTGTTCCCCCTCCCGCCCTACCCAAAGGCCTTGCCTAGCCCTGCTTTCTGGGGTCACTGCATGGGTTAGGCCCCCACAAAAGCCTAGGATAGGAGGACTGGAGACGGCTGGCCGAGGGAGGGTGGGGCGTCTTCACATTTGCTGTCCTCTAAGCCCGAGGTGGTGGAGAGAGGCGGGCACCGGGAGCAGGGAGAGGTAGAGAGCCACCGCCCCTCCCTCCCCAGGTAACTTTCACAGTGTTCCACAGCCCTGGCTGGCCCCCTGCAGCCCCCACCCCAGCCCTGCCCCTAGGTTGTCCCACCAGGTCTTCGGTGATGTGTGTCCCTGGTAACCCACTAAAGAGTTCAGGCTTCTCTGCCGTGGGCCCACCACCCACGGCTGAAACAGCCCCTCTGAGCACGCCCCCACCATTGTCAAGGCTGGGGTTCTGAAAGGACATGGGTGGGTGAGAGAGGACCAGGAACAGGGGGCCTTCAGAAGCCTTGTGTGACAGTCCTAGGCCTGGCCCCACTCAGGGGGACCCTGCTGGAATCTGCAGGGGTGCCCGGCTGGCCCAGTCCCCAACAGAGGCTCAGGAGGAGAAGCAGAGCCCGCAACACTCCATGCAGATCTCCAGGCAGTCCGCGGACTCGCAGCAGGCATCCAGGATGCCGCAGTCCAGGTCGCAGGGCAGGTCGCAGTCAGCACACTCGCCGGAGCCGCAGCAGCAGCAGCAGAGGCACGAGTCCTCTGAGCTGCAGGAGCCGCAGGTGGCGCAGTCCAGGACGATGTTGCACAGTGTCAGGAACTCGCAGAACAGGCAGGACAGGATGCAGTGGACACAGCAGTCTGAGGGGTGGGCGGAGGAGACGGGAAGGGGAGAGTGTGTGTGAAATAGCCAGGGGTGTGGGGGCCCAGCAGCAGTAGCAGCGGCAGGGATGCTGAGTGCTCACCGTGCGCCTGCCCATGCCAAGCACCTGGCACACATGAAGCTCATGCGTCCATCCCCTAGGTGATGACTCCGAGGCACACACAGTCGAGCATATCAGAGCAGGGTCCAGCCCAGGCAGTCTGGATCATCCTTGCTCTTAGCCAGCCTCAGTTTGCTTATTTAACCAACATATGGAGTGATACTTGTTCTAGGCACTATTCTGAGTGCTCTGCATGAATTACATTCATTTAGACCTCCAATGACGACTCGATGAGGCAGGGGCTATCACTAGCCCCACTCCACAGATGAAGAGACTGAGGTTAAGAGAAGTTAAGTCGGCTGGGCCCAGTGGCTCATGCCTGATCCCAGCACTTTGGGAGGCCGAGGTGGGTGGATCACCTGAGGTCAGGAGTTCAAGACCAACCTGGCCAACATGGTGAAACTCTCATCTTTACTAAAAATCAAAAAAATTAGCCGAGTGTGGTGGTGCACGCCTGTAATCCCAGCTACTCGGGGGGCTGAGGCAGGAGACTCACTTGAACCCAGAAGGTAGAGGCTGCAGTGAGCTGAGATTGCACCATTGCACTCCAGCCTGGGCAACAAGAGCGAGACTCTGTGTCAAAACAAAAAGACAGAAGCTAAGTCTACACCCAGAATCCTCCCACCTGGCTCATCTCTCACCTGGTCACCTTCAACAGCCTCCTCACTGGTCTCCCCACTCCCTGGCTTTGCCCACTGCCCCTGAAGCATCTCTACTCCATACTGCAACCAGAGGGATCCTTTGGAAATATCTGTTGGATCCCGGCCTTCCTCTGCTCAGACCGCTCCCATAGCTCACATGTCACTTGTGATACAAGCTGAAGTCCTCGCAGTGGCCCCTGAGGCCCCCTGTGGTCTGGTCCCTGTGCCCTCTTAGTTCTCTTCTCCCACTCCTCTCCTCCGGATCACTCTGCTCCGGCCACGCCGGCCTCCTGGCTGCTCCTTGGCCATGCAGACACTGATTCCTCTGCCTGGAAGAATCTTGCCACAGGCACGTGCTCAGCTGACTCCCTCATCTCCTGCTTTGCCCAAATGCCACCTCTCGCAGAGGCCTTGCACCACCGGCCTCAATACCGCCTCACACTCCCTGCCTGGCCCTACCTGGCTGCCTGCTTCCCCCAGAGGCCATCGCCTCCCACTGTGCTACACTGTTTCCTCACGTTCATTGTCATCCCCTCCTACGGGATATGTAAGCTCCAGCAGGGCAGGCACCTTTGCCCATTTTGTTCACTGACAGATTACACGTCCTTACAGCAGCGCCTGGCACATAGGGGTGCTGAGTGAACAGAAATGCATGAAGCTGCGCTGGGCCCGGGCTGGGAGGTGCTGGAGCTGGGACTTGAGTCCAGGCTGCTGGTTCTAGAGCCTCTGTCCTGCAGCGCTCCATGTGCTGGGGCCAGGCCATGGGGCAGAGCGTGCAGTTCTCCTGGCCAGGGGCCCCCTGGGAGACTCACTGTGCGGAGGAGGGAGGAGGCTCTAACCCTGTTCTCCTGCATTCCTGTGTGGAGGGACTAGGGTCTGACGATCTCTCTTCAAACTGGATAGGGTAGTTCTCTTCAAATGTAAATTGGATGAGGTCACCACCTTGTTAAAAACCCTTCAGGGGCACCCTGCTGCTCTCCGGATAGTCTAGGTTCACTGCCTGGTTGGTAACGACCTCCCAGGACCCCTGCCTGCTGCGAAGTCTCACCTTTGGCACTTCACCCTCCAGCCATACTGGCCATTTCTCACCTCTGTGCTCTCCTGGCTGGAGCCTCCTTTTCATCTTTTAAGGCATGCTCAGACATTGCCTCCAAGCTTTCCCAGGATTCCCTCCCCAGATTTTTGGGCTGGTGTGAGTGTCCCCTTGCGTTCACATAATCCTCTTTGTGACTTTATCACTGCACTTATCACCTCTTCCAGCGATTACCTATCTATGTCTCTCGTAAGAGCTTTTATGACGGGATGAACCAGGTATCCAGCACATGGCAGGTGCCTAGGACATTTCATTTTATTTTGCTTTGAGATGAAGTTTCATTCTTGTTGCCCAGATTGGGGTGCAATGGCGTAAACATGGCTCACTGCAACCTCTGCCTCCTGGGTTCAAGCAATTCTCGTGCCTCAGCCTCCCGAGTAGCTGGGATTATAAGGGCCCCCCTCCATGCCCGGCGAATTTTTTGTATTTTTAGTAGAGACAGGGTTTCATCATGTTGGCCAAGCTGGTCTCGAACTCGTGACCTCAGGTGATCCACCCGCCTCAGCCTCCCAAAGTGCTGGGATTACAGGCCTGAGCCACCACGCCCAGCCAGGACATTTTACATGAATAAATGGCTCCTTCATAACTACGACTATTGGGGCTGGGCAAAGTGGCTCATGCCTGTAATCCCAGCACTTTGGAAGGCAGAGGCGGGTGGATCACAAGGTCAGGAGTTTGAGACCAGCCTGAACATGGTGAAATCCTATCTCTACTAAAAATAAAAAAAATTAGCCGGGCATGGTGGCACACGTCTGGGAGGCTGAGGAAGAAGAATCGCTTGAACCCAGGAGACGGAGGTTGCAGTGAACTGAGACTGTGCCACTGCACTCCAGCCTGGGCAACAGAGCAAGATTCCGTCTCAGAAAAAAAAAAACAGAAACAAAAACAAAAACAAAAAACTGTTGGGCAGAATCTGCTCTGCGGAGTGAGAAGGTTTCTAAGCATGTTACATACAAATGTGTAAACTGAATCTATTTGCAGATGCCCAGGCCAGTGTCCCTCCACACAGACAGGAACCACTGGAACATTCTGGGGTGAAGGTCAGGCCATCACTGAGCTCAGGCAGCAGTGAGCCATGTTCACCTGATGGCTGGTGAGGAGGGGGCTGGCTGCCCTGCAGCCCTACGGAGATCTTCGTGTTGCAGGCACAACAGCTGTCTGGGAGTCTGGATCTTCTGACCTCCCATTGCACCTTGCAGCCCTGCCCCCGCACCATTTTGTTCTGCTACACGGTGTTTTTTCCTCCCTAGACCGAATATTTCTGTTTCCAGAAACAGAGTGGCTTAAGATGGATCAACCCAGGTGGCTCCGTTCCTTGTTATGGCAATTCTGGGAAAGCACGGATGGGAGGGGTGGGAGAGGGGAGGGGGCGGGCTTGAGGAGGTAGGTATGCCTCGGTTTACCCAGCAGGTGCCCGTTTCGAGGTTCTGTGATTTGATCATGCATCAGGTTCCCTGCAGGGCTTGTTAAGCCCCACCAGAGTCCAATCCAGTAGGCTTGGAAGGAGGTTGAGATCCTGCATTTCTAAGCAGCAGCCTGGTGAGGGCGCTCCTGCAGGCCCCTGGGTCCTGCTTCCAGAACCCTGGCTTTGGAGGCCTCTCCCAGGGAGAGATGGGATGGGGTGCTTACCTTCCTGTGCCTGGAGGGGGATCTGGGAGGCGGTGGATTTGGTGCTGCTCTTACTCTTCTTGCTGCCCTGGCTGGCGAGAGATGGGTGTGTCTGCAACTTCCGATGGGCCTTGGGGCCACTCAGAGCACCGTTCCCCGCCCGTCTGGTGCTGCCCAGCTCTGAGGGGTGGCCAGAGCCATTCGGCAGTAGTGGGGTGCAGCCCAAGGGGTTCCCCTGAGGCTGACCTGGAGAGATGAAGAGAAAGGCTGATGGGAAAAGGGCGGGGGTCATTCAGCCCCCAGAGCTGTGCTCAAATCCTGCCTGCTTCATTCTTTCACACACCCAAAGCACCCAGCCATACCTATATCCTGCAGATGGGGAAACTAAGGCCCAGAGGGAAGAGATGACTAGTCCGGAGCCATGCCATGGAATTGAGTTGGCCCTAGCTCCTGACTCTCAGTTCAGTGCTCTGTCCAGAAATGACAGATGTGCAAGAGGAAGGGCCCGGAGCCCTGGACCTCTCCTTCGTTCCTCACACCAAGTCCATTCTCCTGCTCTTGTCATCTGAGGTTTCGGCAGAGTGGTGTCAGTGGCGGTGTTGGGGAAGAGGGGTGGTTTGGCTGGGGTAGGGAGGGTAACAGTGAAGCAGTTAACCTTCACCTTGGCCTCTGCCAAGCCCCCAGCTGTTATTGCCCTTGGCACACTGGGTGATTTATTGGAAACATCTGTTTGGAGATGAACGCCTGGCCCTGGAATCCAGGGGCTCCTCACTGCAGCCCCTCTACCTCCTGCTCCTTCCTCCTGGTGTCTTAACCTGAACCTTTGCCCTCTGAATCCCCAGCCCCATCCTGCCTCTGTGGGCAGCTGGCAGAGTTTGGGGAGGGGCCTTGGGGTCTGGGAGAGGAGGGAGGGAAGGTGGCAAGAGGAAAGGCAGTGGGGAGACCCCCAAAGCCAGGAGCCCTGGGTCCCCACTGCAGACTGAGGGACCAACTTCAGCTTGATCAATGGGGTGCAGGCAAGGTGACCCTGGAGATCCCCCAAGCCCTGAGTTCCTTCTTGCACCTCACTCAGGGATGTTCAGTTCTGGGTGAGAACTGGCTGGCTCCGTTCTATTCTCAAGAGATGAGGGGACATGTGTATGGTTCGGGGAGTAGGGAGGGGCTGAGGAGAGGTCACTGAGAGCTCTGGGGCTCCTCAGCTGGGCAGGACTCCTAACTCCTGGGCAGGAGCCTGTGGCCCCAAGGACCCTCTGGAAATGTAGGGCACTTCAGTCCCTCAGGAGCTGGAGTCTGGATCCCCCTCTCCTTCCAGGCCTGGCCTGTGTGTGTGAATTGTGTAGGAGGGAGTTGTCTTGGGGGCCCTGGAGCCCAAAGAGAGGGGAGGGTGGCCTCGGTGCCTCCCTTGGCCAAGGAGGCCAGGTCTTTCAGTGATGGCAGCAGTCACAACATCGCACACTGCTTCCCGCACACCAGCCCTTCTAAGCACTTGTGGCTCACGGATCCCCTCGGTATAGCTAGCCTTCTTTTACTGATGGGGAAACTGAGTCCCAGAGAGGTAGAGGTACAATAAATTGCCCAAGGTCACACAGCCTGCAAGTGTCAAATATGGGGTGAGCTTAGAGATTAAGAGCTGGGCTCAGAGGGCAGAGGCCAGCAGGGGGGCAGAGGCTTGGAGGCAAGTGACTGAGGAATAAGCTGCTACTATCATGACAGTCGCTACCCTCATGACTGGTGGCATGCGTGTTTCGGGCAGGTATTATGTCCCAGGCACAGCGCTGGCAGCTTTAGGTGGAGTAGCTTCTTTATGCATCACAAGAGATCTACTACTGGCCCCATTTCACAGATGAGAAAACGGAGGCCCAGAGGGGGAAAGCTTGCCAGAAGTCCCATAGCTGGGGAGGGCATGAAGATTGGGAGAAAGGAGCTGAGGACAAGGTTGGGGGTCAGGGGGAGGGTGGGAGCCAGGGTTCTGGAGAGGCTCCATGCTGGCAGCCTCCAGCAAGAGCTGTGGCTGGTGTCTTCATCTGGGTAAACAGGGGTAAGGCTATGGGAAGTGGCCAGGCCTGAATCATCCGGCCCCCACCTTCTGGCCCCACACAGGGTGACTGGGCCAAGTCTTTGGCCAGCTTTGGTGCCCCTTGCCCTGTTGCCTAAACATGGGTGCCGTGACCTGAGGGCGGGAGTGTGTGGTGAGCTGAGGGATCTGGGAGACGTGGACAGACACAGAGCTTGCCTGTGGCCATGGCCGTGGGGGCTGAGTCACAGAGCAAACACTCAGGGCTCACAGACACAGGAGCGTCTGTCCCATTCCCACCAGGCCCCCTCCTCCACAGCCACGGCACTGAGCTCTTTCAATTCTGCTGGTGGGTGTGCTGGAGACCAAGGGCCGTGCACTAGCAGGATAGTAACCCTGACTCCCAGGGAGTCCAACTTAGCCCCAGATGCCCTGGCTGGAGGAGGCTGCCCACGCGGCCATGCCAGCTGGGCATGCAGGCAGGCACTGGGAAGAGTGCTGGGTCGGGAGACCTGTGTTTCCCAGCTTGGGACCAGGGTGGGTGGTTCTCTGTGCCTGTTCCCTCGTCTGGAAAATGGGCTTGGCAGTAGCCATCCTAATGCCTCACTACAGGCTGATAAGGCGAGCAAGTGAGCCCACTCAGGGACAGAAAGCTGGGAAGTAAAAGTATGTCTATAGATGTGGGCAAATCCTCGTTGTTTATAAAAATGATCCCAGCTGTTGCTTCTCTTGTTTTTGAGGGTGAAGGGGGAAAATTCTCTCCCTCCCAGGACCTCCTTGGAGAACTCAAGCCAGGCCTGGGAATGGAGCTGAATTTTGTTCTATTTGCCCCCACCCCCAGAGCAACTGGGGGCTTCTTCCTTTTAGCCTTGATTCCCAGAAGGATGGGGCTGCATCAGGCTCGGGCTCGCTGCCCCATGCCAGCCCCGTAGCTCTCTTCCTGAGGCCGGGGCGCCTCTCTCCAGGCAGCCGCATGCTCTCCGTCCTGAGCCGTTTTGCCTGGAGCCTGCCCGCACTCCTGCTTCCTAGCCACTTTTCGGTGGAGGCCTGCCCCTTGACAGACAGCACAGTGACAGTGCCATGCCCCTTTCTGCTGCCGTGCTGCTACCCTCAAGGTTCCTGGCCAAGTGGGTGTACCCAGTTTTGCCAACCCATTTGAGTTGAGTTCCCTAGTGCAACCACTACATGTTGCCATCCAACCTCCTGGTTCCCTAGGACTCACATGTCACAGCTTCTGTGGGGACATCGAGGTCAGTGCTGTCCAAGGCCTGGGGGACCCCAGGGCCATTGCCTTGGGGTATGGGGGTTGCCGCCTCCTCCAGAGAGCCCTCCTTTGGCGCTGCCTCCGCAGGGTGAGTGGATCCTGTTACTACCTCCAGCCCAGGAAGGAGGGATAGGGTCTGGGCTAGGAAAAAAGAAGATGACTGAGGTCCATTTTCCTGGGGCCCTCCTGTTTGCCAAGCCCTGGGCCCCGCCCCACCGCCCACCATGCTCACTGAACCCTCATTCTTTGTCTGTTTGCACCAGTTACCCAGCCCTTACTCTACCTGACAACAGCAACGGACTCCAAAATAGAAAGCTCCCAAACCACAATCTGGGAGTGAGCAAGGGTGTGCATGCACGTGAGTGTGTGCACGTGTGTGTGTGGTGTCGGGGAGGGGCAGAGCTGGTAGAGTATAAAGAGAAGTGGGAGAGGAGGCAGAAACAGCGCAGGGGAGAACAGACGGACAGTCAGCGACGGAGAGATAGGGACAGGCATCCAGAGTGACACGGAGAATCAAAGGGACAGTGAGAGGTAGAAGCAAAGAGAGATAGAGCATTGGACTGCAGGAGATTGGGTGTGGAAGAGAGATTCACAGTGACCCACTGACAGACAGCCTGGGACAGGAGCGAGACAGCAATAGTGCGAAAGTCAGCGATGGAGAGAAAGATAGAGATGGGGTAGAGACAGAGGCGATGGAGAAGGGAGCACTGTGTGATACAGAGTGCGGAGGGAGGCGCGGGAGAAACTGGGTCAGAGAGGATGATGGCAGAGGAGTCAGAGGAACCTGAGGGTGAGGAGCAGGGAGGGGCTACAGTCAGGAGAGCGACAAGAAGCCGGCCAGAGCGCAGGGGAAGAGGTGAACCGCAGCCACATGTAATTACAGTGGCTCTGTGCAGGGGCGGCAGGAGGCAGAAATGGAGCCACCTTCAAACCCACAGCTCCCCATGCTGCAGGTCTAGGGCCCCTAGGCTCAGGGGAAAAATGGAATGGGGGATGGGTAGTGAGGGAGGGAGGAAGAAAGGGGTCTGAGCTTCCACACACTCAACCAGGGGTCATGGGCAGGCCCAGGCTGTGCCAATGAAAGGGTGTAGGGTGCAGCCTGGGCCTCTCATCAGACCTCAGCCTATGCGGTTAGTTGGAAAGACAGGGGTCTCAAGAGGGTGGCCTTCCACCTGCCCTCTCCCCACATATCATGCTGGGAGAAAGAGAAGGAGCAAGGAGACACAGAAACAAGAGGCTCAGATGCAGAGGCCACAGGGGCACAGAGAGAGGCAGGGGTGGCACTGGGGGGAGACATGGGGAGAGGCAGGAGGGACACGGGGGGGTACATAGGGAGAGGCAGGAGGGACATGGGAGGGACATGGGGAGAGGCAGGGGGTCACGGGGGGACATGGGGAGATGCAGGGGTTCAGGGGGGACATGGGGAGAGGCAGGGGGACATGGGGGGACATGGACAGTGGCAGGGTGACACAGAGGGAGAAAAGGTGAGAGGCAGGGAGACACAGAAGGGAACATGGAAAGAGGCAGGGTGATGCAGAGGGGGACATGGGGAGAGGCAGGGGGACACAGAGGGGGACATGGACAGTGTCAGGGAGACCCAGAGGGGGACACGGGGAAAGGCAGGGGGACACAGAGGGAGACACAGGGAGAGGCAGGGGGACACAGAGGGGGACACAGAAAGTGGCAGGATGACACAGAGGGGGACACGGGGAGAGGCAGGGGGACACAGAGGGGGACATGGAAAGTGGCAGGATGACACAGAGGGGGAGATGACAAGAAACAGTAGGGAAGCCCAGAGAGTACACACCCCATGGAGAGACCCAGAAAGAGACACATGCAGAGACAGAGACACAGGATAGTCTTGAAATGGAATCAATCACAGAGAACAGAGAGGGGCCGACATATGGTATCCTCTATGAACTATCTCCCAATGACACAGAGAGGAAGGGGGCGGGGGAGAGAGAGGCAGAGAGAGCTGAGAGCTGAAAGAAGAGAGGAGGGAGATAATTAGAGGGCTCAGTGCAGGCCTGGGGGAGGGGAGTAGGAAACACGTTGAGGGGAAGATCCTGGGGCCCAGCTGCCTCCCTGGGCCCAGAGCACAGCCCCCTGTGGCCGTGACCCTCAGAAACCCCTTAGGAATCCCTGTTCTAAGGGGTCTGGTCCCCCACGGTCAGGGGGATGGGCGCCCCAAGGCCCCACATGGGAAGCACAGAGGGCAGCAGGCCCAACAGGCATGTTCTCACCTGCCCAGTGAAAAATCACAGGCCTTGCCTGGAGACAGGAGCTGGGGCAAGGGGGAGGCAGGGCTGGCGCTCCTGGGATTCCTGCAGGGCAGTGGAGTTATTTGCTGGGAGCCTTTCCCGGTGCCCATGACTCCAGGAAGGCAGGGCTGGGTTCCTTCCAGCTCCATCTGCTCTGTGGGCCTGTTGAGAGCCCCACTCATAGCTGGGTTGATCACTGAGAAATCAAATGGCTTTTGGAGGATCAGAGGATTTGGACAAGTGGGAGCAGGCCAGTGGAGACGCTGGTGCCAGATGGTGCCTCTCCTAGCCCTGAGCCTGGTCTACACCAGCTCAGATATGGCTCTTGCGGGCTAAAACCAAGTTGCCATAAAAAGGGAGGCTCAAAGGGGGGGGAAAAAAAAAAAGACAAAAAAAAAAATTGTAAAACCGGGAGTTCAAGACCTACCTGGGCAATATAGCAAGACCCCGTTCTCCACAAAAATGAAAAAATAAATAAATAAATAAATAAATAAAAATAAAGACAAAGGAAAGACAGGGTCCTAATCTTCAGGAAATCAGGGGCCTGCCTAGCTCTGAACTCTGGCCCCCAGAGGCATCTTCCATGGCCCTGGGCCCTGAACTGGGAGACCTGACTCTCCCACGCGGTGTAATGAGACAGAAAGACCTGAGTGAGGAGCGGAAGATCCGAACCCTGCATTCACCAGTTACCAGCCTGGCAAGTTATCAGAGTGGGGCTACTCTGTCCTAATGCTCACGCCACAGGGTTTCAAGAAGGAAAGAAAATGCTCATTCGCGGGCTGTTCACAAACCTGTCACCCACAGCCCCACTCCTCTTCCCTTTGTCCCTCCTTCCCTTCCTCTCTTTCCTTCCTCCCTCCTTTTTTTTTTTTTTAAATGAGTAGTTTGGCTTCTGACCTTTCCCCTTTCATTCATTCCTCCCCTCCTTCCTTCCTTCCTACCTGTGCTTCGTGATTTGACATTTAGCACCTACGAGTCACCCAGCAATATAAGAGTCACCCAGCAATATAACGAGTACTGGGTCTACTCAAGTGAGAAAGACCAGCTCATTGCCTTGGAGTTCTCGGTCAGGGGTGGGGTGGGCTGGTGGCTCTTACACACACAGAGGTGCCAGAGTGATGGTAGGGCATCCGAAAGAATGGCGGAATCACAGAAGACCGGCCCCTAGCCCAGATGGGTGAGTGTGGCTAGCAGGCTTCCTGGGTCAGGCAACACTCACACTTAGTCTTGACCAGTCAGTAGCACAGAAGGGGAGTTTTGAGAAGAGCAGCAGGAATCAAGACCCCCAGTGAGCCGCCACCTGCTCTGGGGTGGTGTTGAGGCTGGGAAGCCTAGAATGATAGCTGGGGCAGGACAGGCCTTGTGGTCACTTCCCAGGCTTCCTGCAGAGGTCACGAGGGCTCCCTGGGGTGACACTGTGAGTCTTCTGGTAGAGAAAGCCAGGACTTCTGCTCCCTGCCCTCCCTGCTTCCCTTCCTCCCCGTAGTGTTAGAGACACAGGGTGGTCTTGAACTGAAATGGAATCAATCGCAGAGCACAGAGCGGGGCTGACATACGGTGTCCTCTGTGAACTATCTCCAAAGGGCACAGAGAGGAAGGGAGCGGGGAGAGAGAGGCAGAGAGAGCCGAGAGATGAAAGAAGAGAGGAGGGAAGGTGAGGAAGACGATTTAAGGAGCCTGGAGTTCACAGCTCCAACCTTCTTACCCACAGTGTCTCCACTCTGTGGGCAGTCCCTCCTGACAGTCACCTACAGGGCTGGTGACCTTGGATCTGGTGGGAACAGGCAATTATAGAGTGCAGACCAAGGCCCGAGGAGGCACATCCTGCAGGAAACCTACCAGGCATTAGACCATGGAGGAAAAATGAGGAAGGAAAGAAAACCATGTCCGGTAATCTTGACCTGGAGACACACAGAGGGACAGAGAACCTCCGGAGCCAGGAGGGGCCACAGAGGGGACCCAGCAAACCAGAGCTGACAGCAGAAGAGGGAGCTGTGCCAAGTGTCCAGAGGCAGGGAAGCCAAAGGAAAAGGAAGAAGCAGCTGTAGGAGGACCTGGTCTGCAGCGGCGACACTGCCCTGGTGGCCCAGACCCCGAGGTGGGGACTGAGAAGCAGCTCCTGCTTGGAACAGATGGGGCAGAGGCGCCAAGAGCCCACGTCTCCATTCTGTCCAGCCACCGAGGGGAGAACATCTCGGGGGAGAAACTTCCGGAGAGTGGAAGTGTAGAGTGGGCAGGAGGGAAGGGGGTGGTCTGCAAAGGCGAAGGAAGCCCCTGTGTGGATGTGCAATTCACGACCTGCAGAAGGTGCCTGCCAAGGGAGTAAGAGGATGGGGCTGAAGTCCTCTTCTTCCTAGTAGGTGCCATCTGCTCACCCGACTGCACGCCTGCTCCATCTGACCAAGGGGGCACCTTCTTCTAATCTGCACCTGGTGCCACACATGCTGGTGGCATCTCTGAGCAGAAGCTCCCGGCCCTGTAGCCCTCCTCTCAAAGGTGGCTATCTACAAACGGAAGATACGGAAAGGTAATAACTCCTTTGTTTCAATGAGCTTCCATTTCTAAACTGGGATAAGATTCTAATAAACGTCTGGAGTTCTGGAAAGACAGCCGGCCCCAGAAGGGAGTGGGAGGCATGTGTAAATCCATGAGCCCAAGAGGAAAGGCCAAGACTCACACCCTCAGCAAGGACTCTGTGGGCTCTCCCTGCCTGCCATCCACCAAGTTGAGGGGTGGTTCTGGACCAACAGGGAGTAGGGGGACCTCTTTCAGGTGGGATGGGTTCAAGCCTGGACAGTGCCCATGGGAGTTCCAGCCGGAAGACTCCTGGCTGGTGTGGAGAAAGGCCCACGCTCCAGAGCTCCGCTGCCTGGTGCCTTAAGTGTAGCCCTCATCATTGTCCTTGTGGACTGTGGATCTGAGCTTCCCCTTTGGAGCTCTGACCATCTCTGGAGAGAGAAGGCCAGAACCTCCTATGGTCAGACAGTGGTGGCTGGAACCTCACACTTCCGTCTTTCCTTGGCTCGGCATTCAAGGCCTCAGTCTGTATCTTCAATCTATCAATGTACCAGGATCCTGTGTTCCAGGCAGACTGGCCTCTCCATGGCCTGGGCCGTCGCCAGATATTCTGACCAGTCCACCAGTGCTTATATTGTTCCTTTTGACCAGAAGCTCCTACCTCTCCCACTCTCCAAATCCAACTCATCCTTCTGGACCAAGCTCAAACTTCACCTCTTCCTCTAGAAAGCCTTCTCTGACCCAGTTGCTGAGGACTTAGCTCCAGCGTCCTCTCTTGTTAATAACTTGTTAGTGAAGTCCTGGCTTCTCAAACAGACTACAGTCCTCCCAACTCACTCCCTGGGGGTGGCGTCCATATTAATCTCTGCATCCCCAAGGGGCACTCAGCAAATGCCTACTGGAGAGAGTACTATCCGGAGTTCGGAATGCCCCAGTCAGGGGAAGGAGAGAGACGGCTGAGGAACAGGGGTGGCATCTGGACCTGAACCCCAAGAAAGTCAGAGAGGGTAGACGTCTTTGATACACACATGGGTAATGTGAATCCATTGGTCACAGTCCCAAGCCACCGAGCTGAGAACCAAACAGAGCCTGGGCTGGCCAGTTAGGCTGGGTCAAGTTGGTTTTATTTTAGGTCTGAAGGTTCCAATTCCCCAGGAAATTCAATTTAGAACCATGAACAGGAATGTGACGCCCCAGTGCTGGGCAGAAATGTGCCTGTGGGCTAGGGAGCCAGGCTCCTGGGGCTCTCAGGGGTGGGTGAGGAGGAGGCCGCTAGGAGAGCCAAGGGTGTGGGGGCTTGGCCACCTGCCCCTACCAGATCTGCCCTGAGTCCCCTTGTGCCCTGTCTGCACTGGGGAGGCTGAGGGAGGGGCTTGCTCCCTGGCTGCCCTGCCAGTAGGGCCTCTGGGGGCAGCGCTGTGGCCTTGCTTTCTGTCAGCGCCCAGGGAGCAAAGCGTGGGGGATTCTGGTCTCCGATTCAGGCGTCTGTGGGGTTTTGGCTGGGTCTCCTGCGGTTTCGGCTTCCTGGGCAGCAGGCTCGTTCTCCCAAGGCGGTGGCAGAGCGAAGCCTTGAGTTATGAAAGCCGCATTGTCTGGCCCAACCCAGGCTGGGGAGGGGGTCTGCAGGGGCGCTGGGGGGCATCAAGTTACGGCCCGGGGCTTCACCCTCCCAGTTGCCCACCCTGGCCCCGGTTCTGTGCAGTTAGCTCTCTCCTCTTGCTGCTGGAGCTGAGTGGCTTCAGCAAGGAAGGAGATCTTGGAAGGTGAAGGGAGACCAGAGAAAATGGATCAGGGGAGGGAGAAAGCTGGGGAGAGTAGGAGGACGGGAGAGCAGGAGGCTGAGGAAGGGAGGAGGCAGGAGGGAGGCCCAGCGGGACAGGGAAGATTCCCAGACACAGAGAAGGACCCTTCCAAGTGCCCCGCCCCCCGCTCTCCCTCTGGGCTGAAGGAGTCCAGTTCTTGGAGGCGCTCATCCTGCAGAAGGCCCCGTTGCAGGGGCCCCGCAGAGACGGCAGGGAATTTGAGGCTAGGCCAAGATGGGCTGCAGACACACTGGTCTCATCTACGTGCTGGCTGTTGGCCAGACATCTTCCACTCGTCCTCGCTCTGGTTTAGAGGACCCCCACCCCCACAGTTAGGCGTCCATACCAAGTAGGTGGGGAATACAGAGGGGCCTCCTCCAACAGGCAGGCAGGCCACGAGGGCGGGCGCATGTGGAGGCTGAGGCCAGAGAAGGGAAGGAGCTTGTCCAAGGCAAGGCAGGGAGTTCACGTCAGAGGTTCGGGAGCAGACCTTCATTATTCAGAGTCAAATAGGGGAAAGGGAGAATGGGGCTGGCGGGAGGAAGGCAAGGACATAGACAGAGGAGATTCACGTTATGAAATCCGGGTTCACACTCCCCCACGCGGTTCCCCTGGCCCTGAGCACATCCCAGAGGTTCCTGACTTCTCCCTGACCCGGACTTCCATTTGGGAGCTTCAGCTAGGCATCTGGCCAGTGAGGGAAGGGACTGAGAACCACAGCCCGCAAGGCCCCTACCCCAAATCCCCCTCAGGGAGTCAAAAACCGTCCTTGGCTTGGGAGGCTCCCCCAGGAATCGCGGGTGGGTTACAGACGGCGCCAGGAGAGGGATGAGGCCCTTCACTCGGGCTGTAGACACGGGGTGGGGGTGCGCGTGTGTGCACAGGGCAGGGGCGGCGGGGACTGGCCGGCACCAGAGGGAAGGAAAGAGAGGGAGAAGGGATGGCAAGAAAAGAGCGGAGGGGCCGGGTCCTGCAGCCACTTGCGGCAGACCAAAGTTTTCGGGAAGCGCTGGGCTCTAGTTGGGCTGGGGGAAGGGAAGGAGAGAAAGACTCAGACAACGCCCCCTCCCTCCACGCCAGGCCCCCATAAATATTTACACTTTGGGCAGAAACGGTCGAGACACAAATCCCAGACGGACAGACAGACACCGCGGAGTGTGCGTATGTGTGTGTGTGTCTGGTGTCGGGAGTTGCGGGGAGTTGGAGCCAACTTGGCAGAGTCGCAACCTCTGTTCAGAGCCCTGCCTCCCCCGCCCAGTCCCCTACTCTCCCTGGACCAAGTCTCCAAACCCAGACTTTTCGTCCCTATCCCCACCAAGCTCCCCAGAGCCGTCTCCCCGAGTCTGCGGACGGAGGAGGAGATCTAATAACTGGCCCCTTCAGCCGCCACCCGCCCCTGTCCAGCTTCGCCCTCCACTCCCGGTCCTACCTGGGCCCGGGGCTGCGCTGGGGGCTCCATGGGGCGCGTCGCAGCGAGAGGACCGCTGGCCGCTCACCTGGTACATCGGCCCCGGACCTGCGGAAAACAGGGCTCAGCGGGCGAGGCCGAGGGCGGGCAGGGGGCGATCGTCCCCCAACGACGCACGCCTTCCCAGTCCACTCACTCGTGCGAGCCGCGCTACGCTCTTTTCCAGCCAGATCCCCGCGCGGGGCCCGCCATCCGCGCCTGCTCCTGGCGCCCCTGCACAGGGCCCGCTCGCTCCCGGGTGCTCTCCCGGCGCCCCCTCCCCTCTCACTTTTTCCCTTTACGGCGCCTGCTCGCGCCGTTCACCCCTTCCTTCTTCCTTCTCTCTCCAGCCCCCTCGCTCCTCCCCTGCTCGCCTCTCCCCTCCCCTCTTCCCTGGCCCACCCTCTCCCCGCCCCCTCCTCGCCTTCCCAGTCGCCCCTCTGCGGGTCCCCTCCCCCGCGCCGGGCTCGGCCCAGCCCCGAGCCGGACACGTTTGTCCGCGGGGCGCCCGAGGCCTGAGCCCCCACAGGAAGCCGGCTCTGAGCGCTTCCTCCGCGCTCCTGGAGCGGGGCCTCAGTCTCCCCAAATCCCTACCCCCTGAGGCCCGGAGCCCCGCGAGCTGCACGTTTTCCTTCGCCTGTCCAAACTCTGCAAAAGTTTCTGGAAAATCAGGAGAAACAGAGAAGCCTCAACCACTTCGTGCAACTGTCTGAATAACTGCGGGCTCCAAATCTCTTGGCCCCAAAGATGGGCGCGATCAAGTTCCTCAGTCACCTTATGCCCCTCAGCCTCTGCCCGGGTTCCTAAGCCGGGGACCGGGATCTGGGCTTCCAGGCCACCCGCCCAAGCCGCCAGGGTTGTCTGTCCGGGAAATCCGGTTGGTGACCAACCAGCCTCCCCTGTGCCGCAGCAGCCCAGCGCATCCCCGACCCCCTGCCCCTGCCAGCTGTGCGTGGGAATGCGTGTCAGAAAACCGACTCTAGGGGCAAAGAGAAGTCCTCCGAATTCAGCCCTTCTGTGGTATCCAGAGTGGAATCCGAGGCCTTCTAATATGAGGGTTCGTGGAGAAAGGGGAGGGAGGGGGCCTCGGGCCGGCTGAGCTGCGCCTCTGGGTGGTGAGCCGTGGCGGTAGGAGGGCGCTGCTGCCAGGCCGTCCGAGAGGGTTCAGGGACCCTCAGCGCGACCCCGGGACCTGGTCCTGGAGAATGGGGAAGACCTTGGAGCCTGCGGCCCTCCAGGTGGGGCTGGGCGGGTCCGTGGGATGATGCTCAGGGTGGGGCGGCACCCTGGGGTGGCAGCGTCTCGGCTACACTTGGCCGGGGCCGCCTAGGAGCCGCGTCTGGGAGCCCCACCACGAGGGCCCTTGAGCAAATTGGAAGGCGGCGGCGGCGCCAGGCCACCTTTTCTAGTCCCGGGTCCAGTCGGTTCTGGAAGTGGGGAGCTGGGACGCAGGAAGCCGGGCGTCCCACTCCCCGCTTTTTGGACTCTCCCAGCCCCCCAAAGTCGCTACTTACGGCTCTCGCAAGTCCTCGGGGCGCCGTCGGGGCCAGGACCGGGATGGCCCCCACGGCGCCGGCCGCGCTCTAGCCACCGCGGCCGCGTCCCAGAGATGGACTGGGGTGGTTGCGGCCCGGAGGAAGGTGGGGTGGGACGGGAAGAGAGGCTTCCGTCGCCTAGTCCTGGCTGCTCGCTGCGGTGGCCTGTCCTAGTGTCCCAGGAGCCGGCCGGAATCCGGCTGCTGTCCGGGAGCTCTGGAGAGCTGAGCTGACTCCCGCTTCCTGGCACGGGTTGAGTCATTCGGACGGGACGCGCCCGCGGCCTGGGCCTGGCGGCTGCTGCATTCTTACCTGCTTACCTGGGCGCGCACGCTGGGCCTCACCCACCTCCAAAGGCAATCCCCACCGTCTCTTTCTGTTTCCTCCCGCGTATAGGGCCCCCTCCCGAACCCCAGACCTCAGTGCTGCACCCCTCCCCCTGGTTTTTCAGTCTCAATCCAGGGCCCCTAAACTCTGCATCAGCTCATTCCCGGAGCCTGTTCCAAGTCGCCTGCTTGATCTCAAAGGCCCTCTGAATCTGGCCCAGTGCTAACGTCTGTTTTGTTGGAAATGTAAATCATACTTTAAGTTTAATCCCATACATGCTGGTTATACAGGTGTGCTCAGTTTGTAAGGATACGGCGAGCGGAGCATTTTAGGGTTAGGCAATTTTTTGGTATGACTATTATACTTGAATAAAAAAAATTTAAAAATCAACACATTAAAATCAACATTTCAGGACAGAACCCGATAGGGTATGAAGGCTGGGGGCCTGTCGTGGGGGCTCAGATTCCAGACCTACCACCTACTATATTTCTGTGGGGAAATCCGTTTGCCTTTCAGCCTCAGGAGGAGTGAGCACTGGGGCCCAGGACCAGGACTGGAGTGAGGTAAGTGAGACACTCATCTGGTGTGCAAGATTTCTGGGATGCAAAGATAAGGAATTTTTTCTGGATGCAGGATCTTGCTCTGTCAGCCAGGCTGGAGTGCAGTGATGAGATCTCAGGTCACTGCAACCTCCCTCCGCTTCCCAGGTTAGAGCAGCTGGGTCTACAGGTACTTGCCACCACACTTGGCTAATTTTTTTTGTTTTTAGTAGAGACGGAGTTTCACCATGTTGGTCAGGCTGGTCTGGAACTCCTGATCTCAAGCAATCTGCCTGCCTTGGCCTCTCAAAGTGCTGAGATTGCAGGTATAAGCCACCATGCCCAGCCTGATAAGGAATATTTTAAGGCAATATTTTCATATACCAAATGGGCAAACTATAGCTCTTTGGGCCAGCTGCCTTGTTTTGTAAATAAAGTTTTATTGGAAGCAGGACCAGGATTAAGGTGAATTAATCATGCAAGTTCAGGGTCAGATCCTGTCTTTATCTAAAATGTTGACATTTTGTTCGTCATAGACTTTTTGGCATTAATTTGATTTTTATACATATTGCGGGAATATATAGTTTTATCTTAATTACTGAGTTTTTTGATGCCTCTTAAGTTTTGCACCTGGGGCCTAGTGCCTCATTCACTCCAGGTTTCACATGCCTCACCGTAGTCCCGGCCCCCATTACTGTCTCTTCCGGAGGGACCTGCCCAGGAAGCCAGGGTAAATGAGTGGAGATCAAAGATGTTCCCCCATCCAACACACACACACACACACACACACACACACACACACACACTTACACACAACACCAAGTGGGCTCTGCACCCAAGCCCGGGCCCGGCTTCCCCCGGGCCCAGTTCAGAATAAAGCGCAAGGTCCTTCAGTGCCCGAGAGCGGGGCCCCACCTACCTCGACCCTCACCTCCCCTCACTTGTTTCCTGCCAGCCATGCCACTTCCTTTTATCCGTGAATTTGCCAGGGACATTGTCACCTCAAGGCCTTTGCCCTTGCTCTTCCCTCTGCCCAGAATGTACATCCCCTAGATACCCACGTGGGCCCTTTCTTCATTCTTCTGCTTATGTCAGCTTCTACGAGAGGCCATCACAGACTTCTCACTCTCTGTCCCCAACACCATTTGATTACTCGACACAGCCTTTTTCACCACTTGGCCTGTTCTAGATGTGGAAGAATGAAAGATCCCTGAGAGCAGGGCTGCCTTGTCTGCTAGTGTGTCCCCTAGAAATGTATCTGCTACAGAGAGTGCAATACATTTTCCAGTTTCACAGGTTGGGAAACAGAGGCCAGAGAGAAGGGGCTAATGCAAGTCATGTAGTGAGTTAGTGGCAAAGCCTTAGCAAATCAGCTTTCCGGACTCCCAGCTCAGTATTCTTTCCTGCCCTCCGGGTTTATTCCCCACTCTCCACCCCAGAGCCTTCCAGGCAACAAAGGAGACAGAACCGCCTTGCATGGGGTCTGCCCCTCACAATCCTCCCACCCCCAAAGTGGAGCAGGCCGGCGCACAACTCCTCCCTTGCAGTCCATTCCACGTGACCACAAGGTCTGGCCCAGCTCCAGCCTCTGGCGCCCACCCTCCTCAGTGGCCAGCAGAATGCATGGCTCTTCCCCCACTTCCTGTCTCTGGCAGAAGGCCGGTCTGCTGGGCTGGCTTCTGCAGCTGGACCACAGCTGGGGTCTCAGGGCAATGTCTGGGAGAATGGGGCCCTCCCAGAAGAGGGGTGCGTAAATTGGGGTATGTTTGTGTGAGGCGAGGAGAAGCTGCTGGGTAGGGATTGAGAGCCCTCAGTTCTTTCTACCCCCGTCCTGGATGGGCCCTGAGCAGAGAATGGGGATCTAACCCTCCCCCTTCCTGAAGGAAAGGGTGTGCAATAGGGTGAAGGGTGCTCTGGGCCCCATGCCTGATTCTAGCCCTCCCTGCTACCCCTGGTGATGGAGGATGACCGGGGTATGTCAGTTTCAGCAGTTATGTGTTGAGCATGTTCTGTATGTTGGGCCTTTGCTGGATACTTCTAGATTTATTTCCTTTAATGCATACAACAGTCAGCATAGTTATTATCCCCATTTTGTAGATGAGGCAACTGAGGTATGGTGAGGTGAGGTGAAGAGACTTGCCCACTGGTAATGGGTGGAGCTGGGACTTAGACCATGTTTTCTGAAGCCACACACAGCATTCATCCTAATCCCAGGCACAGCCTTCAGCGTGTAGAAAAGGCTGTGATGTTCTCTTCCACGTGTTGCTCACCCCCCAGCCAAGCTGGTTGCTGAAGATGAGGACATGGCCCTCTGTATCCCTCCTCTGTCTCATTGTGTTGGAGTACCAGGAACTTGGCAGGGTATATGGGAAGAGTGGGGCTTGGTTTATGTCATGGAGACCCAGTTTGTACTCTGGCTCAGTCACTTCTACCGCCCTATGTGATTTTGGGCAAATTACTTGAACTCTCCAAGCCTTTAGTTCTCCTGGGTAAACGTGGCAAAGTTGTTGGCTGTCAGCAAATGGGAACTCTTGCCCATCACGTCCCACCCCAGTGCTCACCCTGTGGCGAGGGAGGGAAGCTTCAGAGGGCAACATTTCTGTTGTGCTGAGTTTTACTTACAAACTCTTACATCATACTTACAGCGCAACTGGCACAGTTCACAGCTTTTACATGAATTAACCAATATATTTTATTTGATTTTATTTTGAGACCTTGTCTCAATGAGCTATAGCTGGGACTACAAGTGCATGCCACCAGGTCTGGCTAATTTTATTTTATTTTTTGTAGAGATGGAGTCTCACTTAGTTGTTCAGGCTGGTCTCAACCTCCTGTCCTCAAACAATCCTCCTGCCTTGGCCTCTCAAAATGTTGGGATTACAGGCCATTTCAACAATTTTTAAGTGCACAATTCGGTGGCAATAATTGTATCCACAATGTTGTGCAAAGTGCACTGCCATCTACTTCCAAAACTTTTCATCACCTCAAACAAAAACTGTCACTATTAAGCAATAACTCCTTGTTTTAATTTCTTAGACCCCTCATGACAAAGTACTGAAAACTATGGCATAAGCTAACAGTAATTTACTATTGTCTGATGGAGTTGGAGGCTTGAAGTTCAAAATGAAGCTGTGGGCAGGCCTGTGCTCTCACTGACAGCTTTGGAGGAGAAGACTTCCTTGTCTCTCTGAGCTTCTGGGAGTTGCCAGCACTCCTTGGCTTGTGGATGCACTGCTCTGGTCACGTGGCTGTCTCTCCCTGTGTGTCCTCACATCAGTGTCCCTCTATACATGTCTGAGTCCACATTTTTTTTTTTTTTGAGATGGGGTCTCTCTCTGTCACCCAGGTTGGAGTGCAGTGGTGCAATCTCCAGTCACTGTAACCTGTCTGCCTCCCAGGTTTAAGTGATCCTCCTACCTCAGCCTCCCAGGTAGCTGGGATTACAGGCGTGCACCACTGCACCTGGCTAATTTTTGTATTTTTAATAGAGACTGGGTTTTGCCACGTTGTCCAGGCTGCTCTTGAACTCCTGAGCTCAGGTGATCCCCCCACCTCGGCCTCCCAAAGTGCTGGGATTACAGGCATTAGCCACCATGCCCGGCCTGTGTCCAAATTTTTATAAGGACATCAGTCATATTGAATTAGGGATCTTATTAACCTGGTTAAATCTGCAATGAACGTATTTCCAAATAAGGTCAAATCCTGCAGTACTGGTAGGTAGGACTTCAGCATATCTTTTGGGGGTACACAATTCAGTACATAACACTGTCCAGAAAAGGCTGGATCAAAGTAGAAGAGTAAAGAAGTGAGATAAAAAAAAGTAAGCGTTAAAAAAAAAAAAAAAAAGTAAGCGTAAATGAATCTAATAGAAATAAAAGTACATGTAAACATGTGTTTTTTCCCGACCCCCACTGTGGAGACAGTGATGTGTTCCTCTTCCTGAAGGAATATATGTATTTGACAAATAGGCTTGCCTTACCCCACTGGTTAAGCTTTTTCTGGAGCCCACATTTCCTTGACAATCTGATGAAAGCTAAAAGCACCCTCTCCAAAAACCTTCCCCTTGAGTAAATGTAGCATTTCTGATACAAGCTGGGGAGATTCCTGGACACCCCAGAAAGCCCCATTGAAGATGATTCGCCATAATTGGAAGGACTGCTCCAGGGGTGGAAACTCAGGCATCTATGTGTAGTGGCATTGGGGATGGGAAGAGAGAATTGTATTAACCTCTGTGGTCCTGTTTCGAGTCTGTAGGTTTTTGAGGGCAATCTAACGTTACTGAAGACAATACGTATGGCCAAATCCATGGGAAGTGTAGAAAGTGAAAATTGAGTCAGATA